GTCCCTAAACCCAACGAGTAGGAACGAGGTCGAGTATGAGATCATTCGGTGCGTTGGATCTCGAGAAAGTGTGCGGTTTTAGCCCCGTCAGCGTCGTCAGTCAGTCGGTACGACACCTTCTCAGTGAGGCGGCGCCGCGGACTGGGCCTGCTGCCGCTGTGCTTATATAGATGTCACCTGGTCTATGCAGAGTGTCATGGAGCAGGCAGGCAGGCCTTTAGGCAGGCACAGCCCTAATCTTGTTTGAAAGGCCGGTCTCTTTCCCTCTCATCTCCCTGTGTGTTTGCCTTGGCGGGCCACACATGAAAGCGTTTACACGCGAGGCGTGCTTCTGCAGCACGGGCACGCACGCAGACACAAAGAGCCCCAGCCTCTCTTCCTCCCTCTCAGGAGGGGAAGACAGAAAGAACGCATCTCTGGTAGGAAGTCTTGCACACTGTAACTACTTGCTCGCAGATAAAACAAAAAAAAAAAAACAGTGTCATATTTGAGCAGGAACAGTTTCTCCCTCTCAACCAAGCACACACACACACACACACGTACATGCACACGCAGACATGCAAACATGCTCTCTATGATGCTGCGCCCCGGGCTGGCCGCCCTCTCCATCTGCCCCACCTCCTGTGCCCACAGCTCAACTTTGATCAGCCCTTCCAGAGACACGGGCGTGTTCGTGTGCGCCGTGTATTTACAGAGGAGTGTTTGCATACACACGTTTATGCTATCAAAGATTCTCTCAGCGTCAGTGTGTGGTACAATTGCATCTCCCCTCCAGCTCTAGACTTGACACTCAGATTCGATGTGTGCACGTGTGTGTGTGTGTGTGTGTGTGTGTGCTGCAGCAGCAGAGGGACCAGCTGTTTTTTGGTGTTGACTTTGTGGAGATGCTTGATGAGCAGCGAGTCATTGTGTGACAAGACAAGGCTCTGAGGGGACTTAGGCCTGAGATGTCAGGGATGGAGGAATATTTGTGTGCGTGTCCGCGAGTGTGTGTGCGTGTGTTTTATCCTATTTCAAAACACACTTCCCGTCATGCTTTCCCCGTTTGCTCTCTCTGCGGTTTCCTCATTCGTCAGTAAGCAGGGTTGCGACCCTGTCTGAAGAGATGGTCTCTTGGGCTTCTTGCAGAGCTTCTCTTGAAAGATCACAGCACAGGCTATGTTTGAGGAGGTCCTGTCTCATCCTATTGATCCCTGCCTCCATTTCCCACTGCTTCCACTTCTTTGTCTGGGGGTCTTTAAGTCTGTAAAACCCCAGCTCACAGCATCTACTGTCGTCTTCTCCCCTCGTCTGTCTGTCTGTCTCTGTGCCGCCGCCTTTCGCCTTTTTGAAGCTCCGCTCCACTTCATAAGTTTGTTTCCGCTCTCCGATAAATGATTTTATTGTCTGATCCGTTTGGACAACAGTAATAAACTTTTCTTAGAGCGACTTGATGGGATGGCTTTTTTAGTTTTGCCCAATGAACTGCTTGAATACTTGACACTTTTGTTTTTACTGCAACAGCGCCTGTACCGTTTGTTGACACCCCTGGTACCGAGTATGAAAAGCCTTAATTTGTGTTAATTTTTTTATTGCAACAGGATAATCTCACACAGGAAAAAAAAAATAAAAAAATCTTTGGCGGGGAAATTGCTATGTTAAGAAATCAGTACCTATTCTAACAGTTCCTAGTAAATAGATGCACCTAAACCATTTTTATAACATATGTTTTAAATTGATCAGAGATTATTTGAAACCCTACTTAGTAATCGATCACTTGCTGTTTTCTTACTTTGCCTACTCTGCAAAAACAGGAAAATCAAGACAACATACCTTTTATGTAAGACAGATGTAATTTGATCTCCACAAGGTAGAAGTTTATAGTTTTGACCAGTTGAATGGTTTTGTTTATTTTCCAATTTTCCATGCATGTCTGTTGCAGAAATCAGGAGCTACCTGTGAAATCAACACTAAGAAATTAAAATAGGAAGCTTCTTTTGAAAAAAACAAAACAAAACATGGCGATAAATGAACTACTGTATGTCTCCAGGCCCATTTTCAGACTTTTTAATTTCTTAGGATAAATTCTAAGCAAGTTTACCTGAATTTTGTCTAATACATTTCACCACTTTATCGACAGGAGACTCTGACAGTGGACACATTGTCAGAAGTTTTAATTACTTTGTCTTGGAGAACGAATAAGAAGAACATGATCACCCATGTAAATGTTTAGTGCTTTAGCGGGGAAATGCCTTTAATGTACCCAGCCGCATCACCCAATAATATTACAAGCTAGCGCAGATAGAAAAGCTGAGTTAAGTTCGTATGCAGTTATTTAGATCGTAGTTTTCGTCCCATGACAAACAGAGCTTTAATTACTGTCACAACCCGTTTGATTTCTTAATAAATTAAGCTCACATCAACCTGTTGCCATTTTTTTTTTACAGTAGTTTCTCCAATTTTGTAGTTTTCATTTGCTGCTTTAGTGTACTTTCCTGTTTCTTAAAGCAGTGTTACCAATTACTTTGCCATTTGTGAGTTTACAAAAATGATTTCTTAGCCCCACTAATAAAAAGTAATACAATTTAAGGTTGGATTTAAAATAAATATATTTGTATTGCTAGATAATGCTGTTGCTGCAAAAAAAAAAAAAAAATCTGGCTTTTTTCAAATCTTCACTTGGGGTATCAATTAATTTGTCCGCGACCGTGTGTTGCAGATTTGTGAGTGTTGTGTGGTAATGCATCCAAATGTCTCTTTTTGTTGTTGGTTTATGGTTTTGGCTGCATTTACCAGCGAACCAAAGCGTGATTTTTGTATCGTGTAGAGAAAAAAAAAATGTATAAGAATGTACTGGGCTGATAGGTGTAAAGGAAAGAGAAGCACTTTTATTTGAATGAGACTATTTATTTTTTAAAGAATACTGTATATAGCTAACTGATTAATGTATGGTTGTATTTTATACAGTATGCCTGTTGATATTCTGGTAATAATACTGTAAAGTAGGTGTGTTGCCTGCCTTGATTTTATTTTATTTGTTTTTTTTTATATTTGTCTTGTCTGCCTGCGAAATCTTCTGCTTGTGACATCATCTCTGTGTGTCCCTTTACAAATCAACGAGATTTACAGACATGACAGCTGGAAGGCAGGGGCATAATATGTCGTATACCTCTAATTTAAGTAACGATAATCATCTGATAAATGTGGCTTATTTTGGGTCAAAAACTAGTGAAACAAAAACTTTCAATTAAATATTTTTTATCAACTTCCCTTTGTGTGGATGTTATTGACGCAGCATTTGCAGGGACACTTCTGGCTCGACTTGCCTTCCTCCCATTTCAACAGCAGCAGCATATACTGTGATGCAATTTTCAAAAAAAACATAATTGGGCATAGAGAAAACCCTCATCCTAACTTGTCTTCAAAATAAGACATACTTAAACGATGCATATGTCACATTTAACAGGTAGCTGGATGCAATGATCAGACACTGGGATAGAAAATAACTCTGGGAATTACAAATATATTTACTTTCCCATAATGTGGGGCTTGGAAAATACTGAAAATGTATCTAGGATCCCTGGTTTCGAGCTCCAGAACAACTTTGCCAACTTCTTCGCAGAGGCAGCATAATAAAGAAAATCCACGTTTAAGAGCGCCTTCTAAACTTACAAATGGAGTTTGTTCTTTTTTTTTTTTTTTAGCAGATTTTATGGCTACACTATTTTATGAGACCTAGAATGAGCATAGAGAGAGAGAGAGAAAAAAAAATAAAATATACATGCACCGTTTATTTACACCGGTGCTTTAGAGTTTCTTGCTTTTTATCATATTTTTACTACGTCTGACATGAGTTAAGTAAAAAACATATATACTTCACAGATCTTACGCAGCATCAAAAAGAGAGATGGTATAAATGAAAACGTCTGAACTGTAAACTATCTTAAATTAAGACTCCAGACAACTTTAAGGAGGTTCGTTCTTCACACTCACATTTACATAAGGCCGTCATTTCTAGGTCTTAGTACCAACACTCATCTGCCAGGCGCTGCTTTCTGGTATTAAATGTTTTCACAACGTTGTCTCATTTTGAGTCTATTAATAACTGAGTTAACAGGGAGCAGTGGCTGATGAAGAAGCTTGTTAGAACCAAACACCTTTACCTTCTTTATTGTAATTTTCTTAAATATTTAAGGTTTTTAATGCCTGAACAGTAAACCAATTTGAACTTTTCTTTTACATGTTAAACAGTTCTTTAAAAAAAATCCATATGACAAAAAAGATTTATTAGCAACAGGGAAAGTAGCCATGTAAAAGTGAAACTGGAGGTAGTCCACATGAAAATGTTAGTGTTCATACGAGGCTGGAAATAGTAAAAAAAAAAACATAAATACTTTTACATTCAAAACATTTTTTTTTTGAAAAATATATGTCAAGTCAAAACAGAGACTCTATATTTTTTAGCACAAGTACAACAAGTTATCATTGTAGAAATTACTTCTAAATCACCAGCTTATTAAAGAACTTGAGGGCAATATACTGATGTGTACAAACCATCGTCAGCGGGCATGGGGGATTGCACCATTATGGAAACCCCTCAATGACAGGATGTGCAATTTTTTTTCCACCCTTTCAATCTTTTCTTACAAATCAGCAACCAGTGCCTTGCCATTAGCCTGCAGGTTCTCCAGTGCTTCCATCAGGAAAACCGTGTTCTCTCCTCTGCACTCCTTGGCAGCAGCAGACACCTGTTCTTTGTGCTCTCCTCGACTGAGCCTCAGCAACGTCTCCACGTCTTCGGCCAGCCTCACCGCCCGCTGATCTGTCCAGTCCGAAGTGACTTTCTGAAGGGAGTGCTTCTCCAACGCAGCGGCCAGCTTGTAGACCAGAGTGTGGGGTCTGTTCCCCGACTGCGTGAGGCCAGGCAGGCCCCTCTCCTTCTGGTAGGAGAAAATGAGGTGGCCCAGCAGACTAGATCCAGCCTCGAGGAGAGGAAGGTTCAAGACCTCAGTTTTGTCTTTGTTCGTGCGGGCTGAGTCCCCAGCCTGAGCGCTGCGGAGGAGCTCCTCCCTCTGACTCAGTGCGGAGACCAGATCCAGCGGAGTCTGTCGGTCTCCGTCGGTCTGCTGGAGAAGAACTGAGCCTGGGGGAGACAGAGACATCCAGATTAAGATCAGACAGCGCTAAGACCAGGTTTCAAGCAATGTGACAGGATACACTGACAGCCCCACTGTGGGCCTTTTGCATAGAAACACTACAAAGATAAATGAATCTGAAACTAATGCTTGAAAGTAAGAAGAACAGAAAGTGTTTTGTTGGGTAATATGCTTTATAAAGCACCGCATTATTAATATGGTGCAAAGAAGAAAGAAACTTCTGGATGACTACTTCATTTGTAAGTACTTTATTTACATGAAATAACAGCTTTGGAAAAGTACAACTTACGAGATTTGCATATTTTAAAAAAAGAAAAAAATCTTAAAATGTATAAAGTCCCAGGAAATTAAGTTTGTGGTTCCAACGTGACAAAGTATGAAAACGTTGAAGGGATACAAGTAAAAAAAAAAAAAAAAAGTTGTAAGAAACATCAAAGCGCAAACATTACAGAAACATTGGTAGGTCATCTAAGGTAAGACAGCACACCGACCTTAAACGTGGAGGTTAATGATTTCAATGTTAGCAGCGAGTTTAAGCCTCAGTGATAACAGACGAAACAGATTTGCAGCCAAGTTACCTTAGTCTGCGGCATCATTATCAAATAAGGCGGAAGAGACACGACACGGGTCAACGGCAGGACGAGGCAACAGAAATGGGTGGCGCGCACAAATACATTCGCTCCGTGAGACAAACTCGCATCCAAACGCACAGTGTGAGAAGTGGAAGGCTTAAATGAACAGCTGTTTTCCCACCGGCCCTCAGCGCCAGACGGGCCTATTAGCTCACTTCAGCGCTAACTTCAGCTGACACTTCGCCTTAGCTCGGTGACTGGCAGGTCACTTTGTGTTTGTGTTAAAGGCGCAGAGGGTTAGTGACCTGACGGAGGCTCAGCTTTTTTCTTTTTTTCTTTTTTTTTTGATTCACTGCTGTAAGTGAGCTCATGGCCGTCGACGCAGGTACAGGGAGCAGCCGAGTCGCAGTAGACCTCGAGTCCGACGTCGGAAAAAATGTGGCTTGTTGGGAAATTTAACGAGGGAGTCAACGGCGACGGCAAAGCTCTCCATTAATTCAAATCTCTCGTGAGCGTAAAAATAAACACTTAATGTACAGCTTTAATTGTGTACGTTCAAAACGTCTCCGCCGACCTTGACTTTCCCCTTTCCGGCGCTGCTGCGACGCTTTTCAGCGTTGAGCTGACAGTCGGTGCTGAATGCAACACTTTCTTCTCTCCCTCACAAAGCAGGCAAAGTTCTGATGCTGACATTTACCACCTTGTTTCTCTGCTCTCTATTCAGGCTGAAAGCCATTTTCCAGCGTCAGACAGGCCCGCGCACATTCAGTCTACAGAGCGGGTCGAGTTGGGAGTGAGCCCTTTGTTTGCTTTCAGATAAACCCATTTCTATAGCAAACTGCTTTTGATGGCACTTGACTGTTCAACCTTGGCAATGCTACTACCACTTATGAGCAGGTTTACGGCTCTGTGGAGGCTCTGTATGACACGCTCACAGCTGAAGGGCAGCTTGATTACACTGCTGGCACTTATTTGCAGTTTGACAGACACTGTGAGGTTGGAGGAAGTGTGAAACCAGAAGGAAGGGATGATTGTGTGTTATAACAAAGGATAAACCATACATACTGGGCCTCCCTGCTGGCATTTTAATTAAAAAAAAAAAAAAAAATTGTAAAACTAACAAAATAATTCAGAATTCTTCACATCTTGTTCAGCTGGTCAAGACTTTGACAGTCTGGTCATCAGCGAACGCCCTACGCTCATTTTCTGTAAGTTACCCCTGGAGAACGTATACACTTAACTTTGTCATTCGTAAATGCTTCCAAAATGTACAAATTCTACTATCTACTGAAATCAGTTGCACATCAGTTTTACTCCTTCGCCAGTTTGACGAAACACCCCAAGGCAGTTCCTTGGAAAAAGTTGCTAAACTACAAACGTAGGAAATGGAAACCATCCAACGAAGTCCTGTCATGTTTGTTTACGGCCTGAATGAACGGCTGACAGCTCTTCATAGAATATACAGGTATTGTTTCAACATCTATTCACTCATTTTGTTTTTAGTTGTTGTTTTTTTATACGGTGGTTCTTAAACCATTAAGGCTGCACCCACCAACAGAACCGAATTTACGTTTTTTTCCCCTTATTTTCTTTTGTGTCAAAAAGAAAGTAACTATGTTTTGTTGATTTCCTTTTCTGATTCTTTTAAAAATAAAGAAACAGTTATCAAAAATAAAGAAAAGTTTAGTTTGACTAGTTAAAATAACTAAATGCATGATCACTTAAGATCTATGATTTCTAAAACCCAGTTTTTGGTGCACAGTATTAGATTTTTTTTTTTTTTACCATACTAGATCTCTCACCAACTCATAAAATGTCTTCTGTATTCCATTATATGATTTTAGCTGTTGAAACAGACTAATGTGGAAAATTAATCTGTGAGAAGGGAAATAACTATTTAAATTACACTAAATCTAACGCTCAACACAGCACAACAAGGACCAAACTGGCAGTCATTTGGTCCTTGTTTTAAATTAGTTGATGTCGCCTCTGCCAGTAATAAAAATAATTGATGGCTGCTCAAGCTAAGAGGTTTGAATCTGTTAATAGTTCTTAAAGAAGACCTGGCATCAGAAGGTCGGTGCTTTGCAAAAACTGGAGATCAGAAATGGGCACCAAATTTCTGATTGGTACACTTCGGCTCTTAAGATTATTTGTGAGAGCTCCCAACAGAAGTTAAGTGCTCATCTGCCTTTTAGTCTTTCAAATCTGAGTGGGCAAAAAAAAAAAAAACTAATCTGCATAAATTGTGGCATTAATCTACATAAACATTTACATAAGCGTGGACGTTTTAAATACGAGGGTCAGTGGTTGGGGGGCAGCAGTCAAGGACGTGAGAGTGCAAATTTGACCAAAGTGGCCACAAGAGAAAGGCAGAGGTTAGGGAGTGATGTGAGAGTGTAAGTGAGGGAGAGTGAGGATGTTCACAGCGGGACATAATCACCAGGTTTCTGTAACAAGCTGTCTTCGGCAGCAGCAGGAGCCGGCGTCGATACTGTTCTCAATCAGGAGGAGTGGCTGCGTGACGCTAACTAAGGCATTACGCACTAGGGGAGGATACACTTAGAAGTAGATTTCCTCCAAACAAAACTGTAAAAAAAAAAAAAACTGGATTCATCACAGTAGTTTGGTGGACAAACTCTTAAAAGTTCTGCTCTAAACCTGCTTTTGAAAAGAGATCTCACGGGGAGCAACATTACCTTTTTCTCTTTTTAATCAATAAGTCTCACACCAAAAGTTACCTCTTGGTGCGCTCTGGTGAAAATCACAGACGACAGAAAAGTCTGAAATGACGGTACTCGGCTCTCCGGTGTTATTAGTTTTACTGTCTGCCGTGCCTCCAGAGCAGCTCTGTTTTCCTCGCAGCAGATCCAGGAGATAAAGAAACACAAGCCCGTTTCCCCAGAGTTCCCCGCCGTCGTCGTGTCAAACCCAGTTGACAGACGGGCTCCAATCAGAGGTCTGACACTGGAGCGCGAAGGAGGGGTGGGAAGGCGTCCCTGCAGCACGGCCCTGGGCTCGGTTTGTGAGGCTCTTTGTAGAACCTGTCTGCCTGAAAGCTAACCGGATCGCTCCAACCGCAGTTTGTGTTATTTGCCTTCATGCTGGTCCTTTATTTTCTCTTTTCTATTCTTTCAAATATCAAACTTGCTTTCTTGTTGTGGTTTATGGCCACATGTTTATTACCGAAAACAGAAATCACAGACTCACAAGCTCCGGGGAATGTAACTCCGACTATATGCTAATGGAGCAAACATCGTACTTGAGCATAACTATAGATGAGATAATCTGACTTAGTTATAAATGTATATGTGGTGTGATACGCCTAGGGAAGTGTATTTGGTGCAAGAACCGGTGCCTGAAGTGAATTCAGGTATTGGTGCTGGGTGTCAGAAATGCTCCAGCGGTGATAAATATAACACCCGAGGGAGAACATGAGAGAGCATAGGGTAATTACACCGTCCTTTAAGTGTGTGTGCATGAATGTGATGAAAAACATCCCAAGTTGTGAAGCTACAGCAGTGAGAGGAAGAATTCACACGCTGAGAAAAAGCCACTGGCTGATGCAGCCGCCAGATGCAGCCTGGCGGCCACACACACACACACACACACACACGCACATTTACATACGGAGCGCGAAGCCCTTTGGCCTTTAGAGGGCAGGCGAAGACAAGAAATATAAAAGTGAGAGTGGAGGAAGGGGGAAATTAGAAGAAGGAGGTAGAGGAAGGGAAGGAAAAGAAAGATGCAGTGCTCCCTTCCTCCATCCCTCTCTCCCTCCCTCCCCCAGTCTTTCTGGTCTGAGTCTGGGGGTAAGGCACACAAGCTGGGATGCAGGCAGGCAGTTCCACAGCATGGTAAACACCCCCCACCCTACCCCCACCTCACTGCCTGGAAGAAGAAGAAGAAAAAAAAAAAAAAGACAGATTCAGGGTGAGTGTGTGAACTGCAGCCAGGGGCACGGCAGCACACATCCACAGGGTGCTGCTAGCTAGCAACTAGAAATCCACAGCGAAAAACAACAACCGGATGACGCACCAAAGAGAGGAATCAGACTCAGGAAGACGTGCAACCAGCCAGACATCACCAGAAGGGGGCTAAAAAGTCAACCTATGCATCCTGTGACTGGTTTTAACCTAAAAGCCACAGGGGTTTCAGTGGGTGCAGTGGCTTCCTTGAAATTAATGACTTGAGTTTACTTTACCTCTTTACTGTAAATAAAAACAAAATGCCTTGATGAGCGGAGCTTTTGTCAGCCACAGGTGACCTTCGTGTGTGCTGTTGACGTGGCCTCTTTAACGCCCGAGCAAACTGAATGCAATGATTGTGCAATACAAGTGTATTACTGCCGTGCTGCGACTACAAATCTCACTCACGCAGCCTAATGTTGCCACTTAAACTACGTGCAGCAGAGG